GACGTAGAGGGAACCTTGCAAAACGTCAATATGTGACGAGTTGGGAGTGAGAATGGGTTGGATAGTCCTAACTCATAATGGTACTTTATCCTTGAAATATGTTAAGATTAAACTTAAAATGCAAGTAACTTCAAGAGACATTTATATTAGATTTAAGTCCATACCTAGATTTCCACACCTTATAAGACCACATATACCGGGTACTCAAATTTTAAATTATGAAAAGTCCCATGAGCCTTTGTTGCCAAGCAAACGTTGAATTTTCTCCATGTCCATGGGCTGAAAAAACAAACAAAAAAGGAGGGCAACCGCACTGGCTGCTAACTTAATCATAAAAAATACAAATTTACTTGAAGTATTTGCATTCCGTGTATTATATTATTGCATTTGGCCCACCACCCTCAGATTGATTTTAATTTTGGCCCTTTCAGGGAAAATGATTTTTAATCTTGGCCCTCTCAGGCAAAATGGTTGGGCACCCCTGGTCTGGAGGCTTTTCTTTTAGCTTCACAGAACTCTCAGACTCGAAAAYGAGAGCTGAGACTTGTCTGCGTTCCCGTGTGTCTGTTTCAGATCTTGGTGAAAGCCATGCTGAGGAAGCGCTCGTTCAGTAACCCCTTTGAGTGCCCGAGCAGGCGGGAGGAGCGCTCCATGTCTGCACCCGGCAGCCTGCTCATGTAAGCAAACATCCCCATCTTTTCTACATGACGAGTCTGTTCACACCCAGCCCTCAAAGACAGACCTCCACAGACCCAGTCCTGCTTCTGACATCGCTCCCCTTCCCACTGACTCCTCTTCCTGTTCCATCAGGTTAACTTGCACTCACTCTTGCTGCAGCACCTGCTGCTTTGTGTTGCCATAGCACCATAATTCAGGCTTTCATTGTATGCAGTAGAGCTTACATCTTTTGTAAGTGCTTTTCTCTGAATGTATGTGTGTGTATGTGTATGTGTGTTGGTTTTAAAGCTCCAAGCATTCAGAGTGACACGAGATGAAATAGTCAAGCTGGTGCTTCAGGCCGACCTTGGATTTCCTCTCTTACATGAATTGAAAGYATCACACGGGGAAAAGGCTGATCCCATCATGCAGTTTCAAAAACATGCACAGCCAAGGGCAAATTGGAGCGCAGCTATCTGCTTCCAGCTGGGGTGTGGATGCCCCCGAAACAACAGGGTTGTGTGTCCGACGCTCTGTCAGAAAGACGGACCTTCAGAGCCCACCGAGATGAGTTTATTAGAGGATTTCTCCTCCGTCTGGGCTGAGGCTTGCCCTCACAGAGCTGCTGTGAGGACAGAGCCAGTGGCGATRTGTAAAATCACATTGCCCCCTGCTGGCTGCGTGCAAGAACTCCGTGTATTTCTGTATTTCTAGGACTCTCACATGATAAGTATGTTTTATGATTAGAATAATTCACTGCCTGGCCACAAAAAAAGGTCACCATCTGGATTTAATAAGCAAATAGTAAGAACCTCCTATTGGATAATTACTGCAGGACTGMTTCTGTTTCAGCCGACAAAAGTTATTTAACTGATGCAGTGTGCTGACCGGAAAAGGGTGGAATGCCCCCTCTGGGTCAAGGGAGAGTCTCTGCCTCAAGTGGAGGAGTTTAATTATCTGGGGGTCTTGTTCATGAGTGATGGTAGGATGGAGCGGGAGATGGATCGATGGATTAGGGCCTCATCCTCAGTAATGAGGGTGTTGCTTCGGTCAGTCGTGGTGAAGAAGGAGCTGAGTCGAAAGGCAAAGYTCTCGATTTACTGGTCTGTCTWCGTTCCAMCCCTCACCTGTGGTCATGAGGYGTGGATCATGACTGAAAGAATGAGATCCCGGATACAGGCGGCCGAAATGATCTTCCTTCGTAGGGTGGCCGGGCTCAGCCTTAGAGATGGGGGGGGGGGGGGGTGCTCAGAGTAGAGCCACTGCTCCTCCACATCAAAAGGAGCCAGTTGAGGTGGTTCATGTGGTTAGGATGCCTCCTGGACACCTCCCTTTAGAGGTGTTTCGAGCACATCTCACTGGGAGGAGGAAATGCCTCAGAGTCCCTCAGGACCAGCTGGAAAGTGTTGCTGGGGAGAGGGGGCTCTGACTTTCTCTCCTGGACCTCTTTCCTCTGCGACCCAACTATGGAAAACCAGAAGAAGATGGACATGATAGTGTGTAGCTTCTCGTAAGTTTATTATTTCAAAGGTCCTCATGGCTCACCAGCAGAAGCATAAATSATACTGTTAAGAAAGCTAAAGTCRATCTAAAATCTAAGTCTAATTATGAAGTGAAATTAAAWATCTGACAGTGATCATTACAGTGTGGCTMTAATTCCTCACTTCACCATCTGTGTCGCAGTTTCCCATCTCCAAAATGAGCGTACGCATGGGTCAGAGCTGGTGTGAGGCACCGCACATTTTCACGTCAAGTTTGGATTTTATAAATCACAACCTTGGCGTGAAGAGTGGCGTACGCAAGTTTTATAAATCCGRCCCCTGGTTATTCAATGGAATCAATAGATTTTCTCTTTCCCGATTGACGCTGGCATGATCCAAGATGACTATGGCAGAATTCATCAGTCTCAGATTGCATTAGACATCATTTTCACACACGGATTGGCCACCACAGAGTCCAGACCTGAACCCCAGTGAGAATCTTTGGGATGTGCTGGAGAAGGCTTTACGCAGTGATCCGAATCTCATGTCGCCAATACAAGATCTTTTGCAGAAAACTAAAGCAACTCTAGACAGAAACCAGCGACGTTKCAGAAGCGTGTGTGAACGATGCCACAGAGAATCAAAGCTAAAATCTGAATCACAGAAGGAGCGAATGGTTGCTTGACAGGAAATCTAATTTGTTGTTGAAATTATAAGCAGACATTGACATTAAGTGAGATCACAGCCTCCTGCAGAGTGACTGACCTCACATCAACCTCGGGAATGTTTCCAAGCATCATCTTTCATCATGCTGACGTAGAAACATCTCACTCTTATTTCAGTCAGCATGATGCAATCAGCACATCAGATYTCTCACGTTTTACTGGCTGAACAGAGTGAGAGATGGACTCTATTATGAATCTGTGTTGATGCAAAGAGCTACATTGCTTTTTAGCATTATTTACAATAAGTGTTGKTTATTAAAGTGTAATATTAAAATGACTCTTTCCCACCTGTCACGGCATCTCTGGCCCCTCAGCTCTGACTTCTCCCGTCTTTTCTCCCACCTTGCTGCAGGGATTCATGGCCCCTCCGGCCCTCTCTAAAACTCCACCCCTCACGCAGGTAACACTTTTTGCAAAGCGAGCCGACTCACCTGCCAGCTCGTYGTCGTCATGTTACAGAGCTCTGCACTCAATCATGTGACGTGATGCCGTTTCCTTTCCTCAGCTCTCGTCTCGTCTCGTTCAAACCTTGTTTTGTTTTGTGTGCTTCTCTGATATCCATGCTGGTTTTATCATTAGCTTTACATTGTTATTGTATAAAGTGGTTTGCAAAACTATTCACCCTCTTTTGGTATTCTTTTTTGATTTTGTTTCCTTAAGACCTCCAATTTGAAAAGAATTTAAATGTGACTAGAAGTAATGGACTTTGACAAAATATGTCAGATTAATGTATTGAAACAAGAAAAAAACATTTTAAATAATTCTAAAAAATCTGAAGCCAAAAAGGGGTGTTTATTTTGAATCCCCATTCATCACCTTTAGAAGCCACAGAATAAGTTGGGAAGATAACATAATAAGATTTTTTTTTCTTATTTTTTACTTTTTCTTGTTGCAAAGCTATCTCGAAGTTTGAAGTGATACTTTAACATCAAATAATTTAAAAAAAGCTTAAATAATTTGTCAACCAAAACATGCGCCGCAGCCCCACAACCCAGCGCTTACGCAGACCCTTTGCTGCAGCCGGTGGAGGTTAGGGTTGAGCCGTCTTATTTCCCCCCTCCTAAAGAGTTCAAAGAAAAACACAATCACGTTCATTTTAAATATTAATGTAGTGCAGGTTGCATTTAGAGCAAAAAAATAAATACACAACACACTTGTCCTCAACTCACAGCTGAGATAGATTTGTTTCACGTTTCTAATTTMTGTTTATATTTTTTAAAGCTGCAGTTAGATGTTCATTTAAATTAGCATGTGCTAGTTTTTATTTCCCACACTGTGGCGGCAAAGCAGATAACTGTGAAACGTTCCAGTCAAACGTTCTAAATCACCAGTTTCAGGTTTGATAAATCACACTGAGGCTAATAAATGATTATAACTGTTTATCCTCCCGGTATTTTGCACATTCTGATAACCACCATATATTCGGCATATTGATGAAAGCAAACACTAAATGAATTTTGCTGATCTGACGCAGTCCTCGCTGCACACGGTTGATAAATCAGCTTTTTACACACGCACAGCTTTGATAAATCAGCTGCGTCTCACAAGCAGCTGAGTTCCTGTTGCCTTCAGCCTCTTAAACATGTTTTGGCATAGATTTTAATATTGTTTATTCTTGTATTTTTTCACCTTGTCATATTTTATTTGACCATGTTTTGTGTTTTATCTCKTCCCAGCTCATCGTCTTATTTTGTTACACCTTGTTCTTTATGGGGACAAATAAAGTTGGTTGATTAAGAAGAACCAGTTAAATGTTTAAATCCATAGGTTGTTTTAAAGATTGCTGTAAATCAGACGCACACATCCAGTAGTAGTTATTGTATATTGTGTAAATTTAAAGTCACAGAGCTCCGAAAATATACTTGAAGTTTTAGAGTTTGAGTCAATAAAACAGGAGAAAAAGAGCTGGGTGTGTGAATACTTCTGTAACCCTCTAGATTTCTGCCTCGCCTTGGCTGTCAGGCTTGTGGGATGAAAACAATAAGAATCTGCTGGTGTTGATTTCTCTTCTTTCTAATTGCTGTTTTTAGAAAGAGCAGCTCAGGCGACGGGCCCAGGGAGGGAGAGCTGGAGGACCTGCATGAAGACGAGGCCTTCTCCTGAGAGCAAAGCTTCACCACCAACATGTTCTGCTTCACACCCTTTTCCCTTTAAACCACTGTGCTCTCACACACCCATCCATTCAAATCAGCAGCGTTCTATAAAAAAAATCTTTAAGATAAAATATTGCCTGTAAAGCTCCTAAACCCCGAGTTTGGTCTACAGGATTGTCATGAACCACTGACTGATGAACCAATGAAAAGAACATTCCTGAGCGTTACCTGTTCAATGAGATGCAACTGGAATTYAAGTGTAATGTGAAGAAAAGCAGGACTTTTTAATGTTATTTATGTGCATGGTGATTAACACTGTCAGACTGTCCACATGTCYGTCAGGACAGGAAACACTGAATGGACGCTCGTCTCGCTCACGTCAGCATGTTGAAGTCTCTTCAGTGAACAACAGGGCTTTTTTGTTTTAAATACAGTACATATATGTAAATACAGTACATCCATGTAAATGTGCTCATTCTGTCTGTGCCATCGCTAACTTTTCCACAGAATCAGGACAGACCTGAAGCTGACAGGAGGAGCCTGAGGAGCAGCAGCTCAGCTGGGATGTGGGATTATTTATGTGCTAGCAGGTATTTTACGCGTCTACTCCWACTTTAGTCCTGCTTTTTATTTTTGAATGTTCCAATACATGTGGATTTCAACTAAAGCCAGATTTGGACAGACAAGTCTGAGATCTGAATCAAAGCTCGAAGCTCTAAAGAGTTAATAGAGTATTTTTTTATAACTTTATTTTCTCCAACATCTTCCAAATAAATCCTGTAACATTTTGAACACCAGGGTTCTGCAGCTTTTGCAATTTAGTCATTTTTGTTCCTTTTTCCACTAAATCAAATCAGCTCTGATCCACAAAATTTGAAACTGAAGATAACACAACTCAATTAGTGTTRCATAAATACTACATATTAAAACTATAGCTTGTGGCATTGTGAAATAAATCAGTAATAAACTTATTGTTGGTATTTTAAGCTCTTAGAACATGCAAAGTCTTAGGGAAAAAATAGAAAAATGAAACTTTCAGGCCTCTTTAAGTCTATTCTGTATTTGTCGCAAATGATAAAAAAATAGGCCATTTAGTTGGATATTTAACTGTGATGTAAATTTCCTCAGAAATCCTCAAATCATTTCAGATTACTTCAATTTTATTTAAACTTTTTAATGTAAGCAATTTATGCTAATTATTGGAGTTCATCAGTATCACAGGTTTATATTTAAATGTATTTCATTTCATTTTAGTGTTTTTAGGCCGCTGCCTTTAACCAACATTTGTTTGTGAATTAGTTTAAATATGGAGGAAATCAGGCCTGGTCTTTACCATAAATGAAACTCCTAAAGACTTGAAAAAGTTTAGTTTTTTTTTTATCATTATGAGTTTATTTGTCCATGAGTCTAAGGGTTGGTTTTAAACTACAATAAAATATCAGTTAAAGATTTTTGAGGTTTGTTTACAKATGACTTTTATCTCTACTGTTGATTTTCACTCAGAGCTGAACTTAAGCCGATCTCTAAAGGAACAAGTTGGTCTTTTTGTAGTGGGGTTCTGTGGAAAAGTTAGAAGCATCTTACCTGTTGTAGATAGCTCCTTGAATCACCTGGGTTTAGAGAAACCGTTACGCTCCAGGCACAGTAGAATCTGATTGGTTCATTCACACAGTATTCTACAACCCTTTCACTCTGCTACCTGTGACGCATCACACAGGTGTTTATTTTGACAAGCTAATGCTAAAACGCACAGTTCTAACCAGGGTTGAACAAATCATCAYGATTAGTTATGGCTTTTTTTCCCCTTTTATTTAACCAAATTTAAAACCCCATTTAGACTGAGACGTCATTGTTAAGGAGGACCTGGGCACAAATAAACAGCACACATGAAAAGATTACATAAGTCACAACCATATAAAATAGTATTTAGTAGGGGCGCAACGATACTGAAAATACATGATTCAATACGTTAGGGTCACAGAAATGTCCACGCCCTTCTTAACTTGCAATTTATTGAAAGTAATTATGAACATTTGTTTAACTTCAAAAGTAGTTTTTAAATGAAATGTTGCTGAAACAGCAAGTTTCTCAGTGGATCTGTGCTTGATGATGCAGCCTAGGTGGAGTAGTCGAACACAGATCCACTGATCCTTCCACACAGTGCATCTTCACAAGACAAGATGATAAAACACATTTTAAAAATCTGTATTGTTCCATACATATTGAACCTAAAGCACTGCACAGTGAACAGTTTGATGCAGATGCAGGAATTGTTGCTCCCTTAATATTTAGCTGATGATTAATAGATGGCAACTGTCATCTAATAATCATTGCATATTTTTGACTGTAAATCTGAGAACGTATTCATTTTAACAGCTGGATTCTGACCTGAGTWGATTTGTTTCCACCATTTGCTGGAGGAGAGTTTGTTTAGCCTGCGTTACCTCGGTTGGTTCACATATTTAAGCTTTCCTTGTACTCCAGTCAGTGGCCGTGTTTCAGGCGATTAAACAACCTAATAAATAATCAAAATAAGTAAGATTAGCATTAGCTGCTCCGCCTTGCACCATTGTTGTTATATTGGCTCACGTGCTTGATAGTGAGCATTGCGCACGATGACACATCGTCACACAGCACTGATCGCAGTAATTACTAAATGCAAWTATTAACAGGTGACGGTTTCTCTGACRATACATCGATGTGATTTTGCACAAACCTAGTTCCAAATCAAATGGTTACGCCTTAAAAACAACTCAACTTTTTATCACTGAAATGTTCCTTCATAAACCCTGACATTACTGCTGTTTTACAATACGTAGTTATTTAGAGTTTTGTTGGAAAGGCTGAGCGAGCTGCTGCTGTTTACACAAAATTGTGCAAAAAATTGTAGAAATTTGTGACGATCACGTCGAACCAAGGATCAGGCCCCAAAGTGGTCTGTGGAGAAATAGCAGCTACAAGTGCGTTGATTAAAACATTTGCAGCAATTAAATTGAGTCAAAATCTAAAAAAATAAATACTTTGTCTTTGGATGTTTTGAAAAAACGGCCTGAAATCTAATCTTTAAAAAGATTTTGAATAACTTTTTGAGCAGCAACACAAAACACAATTTTGAGCAAAGATGCTTTAAATTTTTTCGTGTTTTCCCAAAGATCGTTTTCTTCCCAGCTGAGAAATCTAAATATCTTAAAACTATTTGAAGTTTATTTAATAATGGCGWCAGAAATTCCTTTTTAGAATAATCTAAAAATAGGATTCAGACCAAATATCAGCAGGTCGGGAGCTGTTTATCTCAGGATGGTCCAGGGATCAACATGTAGCTTAAAAAGACAAGATCAGGTCATTTTGACCAAATTGGATTTTATCCTCAGTTAGATGTGATGGGTCACACATGTACATAATAATGGAAATACATATGRAAGATTTGCAAACCCACTGAACCCCACCTGTAACTATCTTTTAAAAACAAAATATTGAATGATTTGTGTGCGTTTGAACTCTGGGTAAAGTTTCTTCTGCCTCACCTCGGCTCCTGAAAGCTGAGGGGAGATAAACAAAGGACAAATGTTCATGTTATGATTTGTAAAACCCTGTGTGTGTGTGRTGTGGTGCGGAGCAGTGAGGGTTGTAATTTATTAGATCTCTACTTAGATTTGTTTTAGAAACAAGTTTCCCCACAGCAGAGAAATGGTTCTCAGCTCSTGTTTCTGATAAGAGACGCTGTTTWCCCCTCCTGACCTCAGTATTTCACAGTTATCAGTAAAACTAAAGCATAAAAACCCAATGATGAATGGTTATAAGATTCTGAAAGCTGCTGTCCACTTTATAATGTGAAATTTGGAGAATGTATAGCTTTTTCTTATTTCTAACTTAATAGAAGATGATTTTATTTGCCTGCTTGCTGAGTGGCCTTCACAAAGGGCTCTTAAAACCAAAAAGTGTGACTTTGCTGTATTTATTTGCCTAAAACCTGTTTTAACAAAATTCTTAATTATATTTATACTGTATTTTTAATCTAAAGTTGTTTGTGCAGACACTTGGTAAAAGGGAAGTCTTTAGCGTCGGCGTGTTTTTGACTCATTCTTCTTGCCACAGATCTGTTTATTCTTTAAAGTGGTTTCAGATAAAACGTCTCAGCTTCGCAGCTTTTCTGCTCACATGTTAAAATCCTTTCAAACCAGCCGCTAACCATTGTACAGTGAATGAGTTCACCTGTAAACGACCATGTTTGCTGTGCTTTTTGAAGCAGTTCTCTTTGCTACTGATCTGCATGTCGCACCTGCTTTTTTATTAGTATTTTTTTACAAACACTTTCTCCTGTTTGTTACAGCAGCAGCACACAAAAAAAAAAAGAATACAAATGGCTGCTTTTGTTGTGTTTGTACCGGAGAGGAAAAAATTAAATTCAGTTTTGTTTGATCTTTCTGCTGTAAAGATGCTTCGGACCATGAATATTTTGTCATGATGGATTTCCCATCTTTCCAACATGATTAATCCTCTGCAGTAASACAGATCTTTTAGGTTCTCTTTATTCTGTCTGTGTGTTTTGTGACCCTTTACTACAATGTTGGTTTGATTTATTCTTCTTGACGTTCTCTTACGTTCAGTGGAAGAAAATCAGATTGTATCTCACTGGGCTGATTGTTGGCAGCGAGTTGGGCTCAGAATTGTGAGAAAATCAAGTTTTCACTCAGAATCAGACTGAATTCGTATGTCAGACATGTTTCTTGTGAAACTTCAAACTGCGATGTTCATAATGTACAAATTTCTTTTGCCACAATATTTTTTTCCAATCAGTCAACATTTGGTTCATAGCGAAACTCTCCTGAAGTTTGATGTTAATCTATCTCACCCATCATTGTGCCTGGTGGTGGATAAAATACAGTAGCTGTCTCTGTCAGGATCCGGCACTCTGCGTAGCCTCAGACAAAAAACAGCGAGGTTCGGTTGCCTTCCCTGTTCAGTTTCATCTCAAACAGCACGTGGTACCGTTTGTTGCCTTTTTCTGACAGTATCTGGTGTGATCATCTGCCTGGTCAGGATCAGGACATCTTATGGGAACCAACCCAGGTCCTAATGTTGGGTTTTTTTTTTTAAATTTTTTGAGTTTAGGTTAGTTAGGTTAGGCGTGTTCTAGTAATAGTGAGGTCAAGTTTAGGCAACATAATGGAATAATGGTTAATGCAACAAATATGCATGTGAATGCACATGTTGTTRCTAACKAGTGGGGACGATTTTTGACCATTTYCCCAGTACAGCCTGGTSAGGACCCACTGTTCCTTATGTGGATAAAAGTCYGGTCCCYATTGGGGGAAATACCRTTGSTGGGTCAGGGKTTCGGTTTAGGACTACTGTGTGAATTGAGTTTAGGTTAGGATTAGGGTCAGGGGTCAAGTCCCCATGAGGAGAGAACAAAAAATGTGTTACAAAGTTCATTAACTGTTTATTGACGAGTAAAGAGATGTTAAAWATGATGCAACAACGTCGCTCTAAGTTGGCTCTTTAACTATATTAGGCACAAAGAGTAAGGAAACCTGTTTAGTAGATTATTTCATGGTTGTAACATTGCTTSGAGGTAATAAATCTTACAGCAGATTAGGGCACCTGGGTGGACCAGAAGCTTAAAACAAGAGTCAAGARCAGCAGAAARATAAACTGTACATACAKTTTGKCAGATTTTTCATRTGCACAACCAAAATACTTYGCTGTATTTYTCATCCCACAAATGCATGTTCCTTACAAATGTGGCTCCATTTAAAAGGCAAATTAAGAGGCTTTCAAATGGTGTAAGATTTACTGTCAAGAAGCATTGTAACAACAAAAAAGTAGTCTACCARTCACAAATTCCTTCTTATTCCTTCCTTTTTGTGCTGTTTTTTTTTTAAACTAGCACCAGTCCTGATCTAGAACTGGAACCTCTCAGGTAGAAGAACCCTATCTGTGACTAATTTAAGAGTAAAGTTGTGTCAGACTCTTTGAACATGTGAGGACTTTCAGAACGTGCATGTTATGAGACATTTTTGCAAATGTTTYCAACTTGTCACAAACAGATGCAGCCCAGGGAGATACAGTCTGCGACGTCCACTGACTTCTTATTTTCTTTCAGATTTTAACACTTTGTAGTGTTTTTACTTTGTTTATCCATGGTTTTTGCACATCTGCAGAGTTTTACACAAAGTAAGCGATTAAAGAGTCTCTGCAGCGGTTTGCTCTCGTTATGTATGCTTTGTGATCTTTTCTTGCGTTTTCTGTGGGGAATCGCAGTAATAATGTTGAGCTGTCAGTGCTGCACAGCTAATTTCATCCAAATTTCAGATCGTATTTCTCTCCAGAGGAGTTGTGTGTGTATGTGTGTGTGTATAATGTGAAATCAGGGAGTGTTTGATCACYGCTGTGTATCTTAATGTTTCTGTCTGGATGTTTAAGATGCCTGTTGTCTCTGAGCTTCTGTGTCATGTCGTCTCACACATATCTGAGTGTACCCCTCACCTATGTCAGGTCACTAAAACAGAAGCATGGCACGTTGCAGTGGAATGCGGTCGTCTGTGTAAATATGTACCAATATAAATAAGCTATTTTCGCATGCTTTTGTACTCCTGAACATATTCAAAAACAATTCAAAACAAAAGAATAAATTTCTGAACACCTAAATGTTTCTCTGTTGCTGTTTTATAAAAAGTCACAAGTATTGCTGTACCACTTTAATGAACTGATGGTCACRACTGACACTAGTGGTGTGGGTGACTCCAGTAACACATGCAAACACAACTTCTGTTTGTTTTTGCRCTGACAGCGACGCTGACAGAGGTAATGATCTGTGCACACACGGACACGCTAAGGTGCCGCACCGTTCGTCCTTCTTCACCCGCTCGTTTCCAGTCACCAGTAAAGTCGTGAAGGTTACACCCGTTGTACGAGCGAAGGCAAACTGAGCGACACCCAAAAAGTACACATACGACAAGAGCTTTGTTAGCAGAACAGGAAGAATTGCAGTCGCTCAGGTTGGCTGTAAAAGTGGGAGGGCGTTGGCTGCTGAAGACGCTGCTGAGGATCAGAAAGAAAACAGGACATGTAGAAAACTGAGTCCAGTCCCAGGAGTCTAGTTTAGAGTGTGTCGGTGTGATCTTGTGCGATCCGTGGTGGCAGCACACCGAATAAAGCGGCACGGTTATTGGCCTCTTAGCTCCCAGGTCACTTCTACACAAGAAAATTAAACAGAAAACAAAAATATCAACCTCGCCTGCTAAACAACACGAGCATAACGTGGTCTTATTTCCTCTACCTCAGTCTCTGTGCTTCCTGCCTCCGAATCAGGATCCTGTAGGACACAAACCAAACCCACAGAGCAGGAACCAGTTAGACATTTACTCCTCCATATAATCCTCATCATCACATGATCGAAATACCGGGAGCATAATGAAAAATCTGCTCTACTGTCCAGACTTTGTCATGCACTCACATTGGACTTGTCTTTGACCTGGTCTTGTGCATCAAGGGTGTAATAGGTGTTTGAGTCTAAACCGAAAGACTCCTGCTGCAAATACAAAATGTTTCTATGTTTGAGGTAAAGACTTTGCGAATTGTCTCTCTTTACAGGTAGCTGTAAAGTACAGAGCACAGACGGCTCTACTAGCTGTGATCACGATAACAACAACCAAAAGATGTTGGCAGAAGATGTTACAAGTAAAAAAAAATCACATTAAYAACTAGCATTGGTAACTGTCTCTGGTGCCGCCTTGTGTTTCAGATGAGCATCAGGCGTTAGAGCTTACCTGTGTTTGTGTGTCTGTGTATTTGAATTTCATGTTCTTGTAAAACTCTCTCTTTGGGAGCAAATGCAGCAGAACTAAGTCACAAACCACAGTTGCCTGAGAGGAAAGAAACAACAGACAGAGTGCTTAAACAGTATAATCTTTTGACGTGAGGTTTTTCAGAAAAGTTAAAAACAGTATCTTGTTGTAGRTAGCTYTTTAAACAAGTTTGAAAAAATAAACATCCCTTTTTTCAGAAAAYGGTTCTCTGATAAGCTCAGACTCTTTAAACAGCCTCTGTTTGTTCATAAAGCCCTAAATGAGATGCCTCAACTCATAAAGATGAAGATGGTTGTCTTTAATCATCTGTCTGTTTTCATCACATCACACCCTGAAGCCACGGTGTTGACTCGTTCTAACATAAATCAGCTGTCTCTGTCTATCTTGTGGTTCAGAATCAACAGCGATAGATCAGTTTAATTCTGATCTGATGAATCTGAAAAAGTTTGAGATTAAATCTTAAAAACAACTTGTGTCTAAAACCTAAAAGTAGTTTGTGCTGAATGTTTTTTAAACTTTTACAACATTGTTAGTTGTTACAGTTATTTACAGATTTATTAAATTTTTATTTTACCGTTCAACCAGACAAATCCAGTGGAGTTCACAGATCGCTTTTTCATATAATAAGACACACAYAAACACAAATGAGCCTATGGTTATTCACAGGTGAAAATACCAGCAGTAGTTTGCACTTCCTGTGCAGCCTGGGGCACTGTTAGTGCAAATATTGTACTATAAACAGTGTTATGTGAAACTGACAGCAGGTTTATAAAGTAACATCTACTCGAAGCTTTTGAAAAGAAAATTTTAACATGGCTGATATGTACTTTGGTCTTGAATTCACTGGGGCTAACTGTTAGCTTGTAAATCCAGCTAAATCTAAACCACAACCACTTTTTGCAAAACCTTTCCCTGATATWTCTGCAAAGACTTGCTCCATATCAGTCAGATCTTGAATCACTTCTAGATCCGACCATGCTCTTCAGCCAGTGGAGCCATGGAGTATAACCATCAGTATATATGATGATACTGGACTTTAAGTGGATATATACTTTTAAATCATTCCTTTTCACATTTCATTGGTGTCTATATAAAGTGGAACTTCAAATCTTTGCAAATGAGGCGCTTCACTTCCTCCCCCTCCAGGTCTCTCTCCCACTCCATTCAGCCTTTTTTGTAGTTGGAAAGAGATACAATTATCTACCGGCACAGAAACGTTTTGTTTAGAAGTTGATTAAAAGATGTCAACAATTGAAGACCCCTTGGTTTTACATGACCTTTCTTTCAAGCATTAAACATCTAATGTGTTAACACTCGGGGGAGGCGGGGGAATAACCGAGATGCATTTTATTTTGTTTTATTTTWTTWATCAAGGGCAAAGTCCCATTTCTTTACATAGAGGAGTTTGGTCAGACCATGATGTGGCCACTGTTCTTCCAGTTTCATCTTGTCAGATGTCTAGTAATATACGTATATAGTATAACTCAGAGGCACAACAGCAGCAAGTTGACTTCAACCTCCTGCTCATCCCTACAGCCAGAGGGCGTCTCGGCCTAGTTTGTTTCTTTGTTTAAAGATCTGTCTACCCCAGATAAGGTATTATTAGTTCATGGCTTTTCCACAAAAAAATAAATAAATAAAACTTTTATCTTACACTAAGTAATTTAGTATTAGGAGCACAACTGAAGAGGCAACWTACCACTCCAAAGATTCCCACTCCGGATCCTATTGCTGTCAGTGTTGGGATGATGTCAAATTGTCTTGCCTGTGAAGAACACAGTTCTTATGACACAAAACTCCTGTTTTATTTAAGAAATCTGTTTAAATTAACAGAACAGTTWAGATTACTCACCAGTGATTTCACGATGATGTCAAACCTAATGCCGAACACTTTGAGGAGGGTTCGTTTGGGAACGTGATCTTCCATGTAATGCTTTGCATACCTAAGGATTATCACAATAAGTTCGGTCAACAGTGATGAAAATGAAAGGTTTCACTCTGTTCTAATTCATTGTTAAGAAAATGATGGAAGGTCAGCCTTAAAATTACAGCATGAGCTACACGCTCCAAGGCAACTGGCACTGGTTCAGTGTAAAAACCAGAGAGCTGTGTGATACAGAGACAGCCTGAAGCAGAGCAATGTAAGGAGCAGCTTCAGTCACATGAAGGGAGCAGTTAGAGCTCTGTTTGGTGACAGCAAACAAGGTTTGTTGATGTTTAAACTGGTCTTTTGCAGAAATGTGGACTAAAGTGTGAAAAGATGAAGACAAAATCTGTGAATGATTTGTTGTTTTAGATTGTGTTTTTACACCAGCAGGGATAAAGTACAAGAACAGACATAAATAATCATCCTAAACATCTTTTATTCCAACGCATTCTGAACATTTATCCAAACCAGGGGTCTGCAACCTTTACGATCAAAAGAGCCATTTGTGCTCCTTGGCTCCCTAATAAAATGTGTCCAGAGCCACAAAACAAATTACAACTGTGATTATCAACTGGTGGTCTGTGGGCCTTTTCAAGGCCTTTTCGGAAATCTTTACAGCCAGTAGAGGAGACATTATAAAACTAAAAAATATGTTGTGAATTTTATTTTTATTAATATTTTTACACATAAACAAGAAAAATACTGTMTATAGTTCATATCGAATTTCATTAAAAACTAACTGAACTGTTCAGATATGTTTTTTATTCTAATTCTTATTATGTAGTCTTCAAATTCTTAATGTACTTCTGATGGATTTAAGAGAAAGATCATAGAAAGAAGTTGGATTATTTATTAGGCTAATTATTTAACAGGCTAGCATGAGCTAACGTGTTTTTTTCTTTGTGTATTAGTAGTATTGATCTCGTATTTGCATACAAATTGATTTTTTTTGTAAGTGTAAAAAAATAATTCTGTTATGTTTGGTCACATTTTCAAAGAGCCACTTCAGAGGGACCAAAGAGCCACATGTTGCAGGCCCCTGATCCAAACAAACATCATGCTTTCTGAAACGTTACGTTAATTTTATTCACACACCTGAAGTTGTAGCCCATTGACGCGCTGTTGTCTTTATTATTGGGATTTCCATATAGACCATGAAAGTTGTACTCTGGYTTACATTGTTTCACATCCAAATCCAGGTTACACGTCCAGTCGATTACAATCCCAATGGCCCCACCCTGTCAGGACACCAAACACAAGAAAGTGTCTGTCACAAAACAATCCATGGGATTAAAACATAAACCAGCTTCTTCACACACAAACCATTTACAGGAATCACTGTGGAAGGAAAGGATTAGAGGCCGAACACTCACCTCTCTGGCTATTTTTTCAAATTCAAAGCCGGACAGTTTGACTATGTCTCCCAGTTTGAATATGGGACAGAGCGGAGCGGTCTTTGGATGGTAAAGACATTGACTGATGTAGTTGGTATCAATACCCTCCACCAGGTTACTCCTAAAAATACAGTAAATAGTAGAAAACACAGCTCTTCAGAGGGCTTACTTCAGAAGTTACATATATTAAAGAAATGTTAGATTTTTGAGTGTGGGTCRTTGAAAAGGTTATGAACAATTAATACATAACCTCTTRTACACAGCTTTTTGAACGACTTCCATTTGAAGAAGTATTTAAATTCTGATCTTCCTGCTAGAAATGCCTTGAGGCTACACTGGAAGTGTAACATTTTCTCTTCATTCTTTCTAAAGACTGAGGTTCGAATGCACAGCAAATGTTAAAACACACACACAAAAACTACCTGTATACCGACCTTCAGAAATCTGTAAATTTCACAAAAAAATCTATAGCACACTCGATACAAGAGGGACTGTTATTGTGTCCCAATAAACGTTGCAGCCTTTTACTTAATCTGGCCTTCAGCTCTAATGTAAAGGCCTTGGTGTTATTTTTGATCAGCATATGTATTTTAACCCCCGTATTAAAAATTATACCAGAACCGTCCTCTTCCACCTGAAAACATTGCTAAAATTAGAAACATCTTKTCCAAAAATGATGCAGAAAAACTGATCCATGTAGAATTTAAAATTTTACTTCTAACATACAAAGCTCTCAACAACCAAACTCCATCTTATATTAAAGATCTTATTGTTCCATATTTAAATCCAGTAGTGTTAGGCTAAGGTTTCCTGTTATTCCTTGTCAGGCCAGCTCTGTGGTAGCCTGGTTAAAACAAGACCCTTGTCCTTCACTTTGCTTCATTCGAGGGTCTGGACTCTCAGCTATAGAGAAGTGATTCTTGCTGGAGGCGTGGCCTCTGTTGAAGTTTAAAATGATTGGATCGGTTGGCCATATGTGTATGCCAGGTCCACTGTGAAGGAGGCTAAGCTAAGAAGGCCCAGCCAGGTAAAATAAACTATAAGCAGACACGGTGCAGAATATCCATGTCGTTCAAAACTCCGCCTTCTGTTCTCTGATTGGCCTGAACAAAATTCTCCTGAAGAAATCCTTGTCTATGGGAGAAATCCCAGACGGAGCAGTGAAGAGAAACTAGAATTAAGCAGAACTGYGTAGGAAGGCAAGGGCCAGGCTAGCTCTGTGGCTATGAAATTTAAAATAAATTTAAAATTTAGTTTTTAAACATCTGTGCAATTTTCTCCGTATGTCTGTATTCTTCGGTTCTGCTGAGGTGTGTGTTTCTTCATGGCAGTGTGTCTCTCACTCTGTGCAAAGCTTAAACCGTGTGGTGTTATTGTCTGGTCTGATTTTTTATTTTTTTGCAGCATTCCTACTTTTAATAGTACTTCTGTAATATTTATTTTTGTGTTTGAACCATTTGCTGTGCATATGCACCTGTCAGTCATTGTCTCAACCTGTAAAAGAAGTGTAGTAGCTCAGTGGTCAGTGCAGTAGAGTATTGCGTGTTTACTTGTTATGGCGCCCCCTGCAGGAGGGAGCAGCTGAAATAGAACCACACATCAAAATATCTGAAACATCACTTTAAGAGCTGAACGTAAAGAACTTTTCGTGTTATAAACAAACTGAGATTTGTCCATTGTATGCAACACATATTTTTTTAAGCTTAATCCATAAAAACCCAGAAATGTGTAATCTGAGTTAAACAATTTCTCATAATAAATTACTGGAATGACCTTTTATTAAATGTAAATGTGAGTGCATATGACTAAAGCCAAAGTGTTATAGATTCTGATTTATGCCACTAGTGTTAATAACATCTTCAGGGTTGAATTCAGTTTGACATGAATGACATTCATCACCTCGTGACGCCAAATGAAGGGAAAGTTACAGAGTTTTTGATGAAGAGCGTGTAGTTTTCTGCAGAAATCAGAAGAGGAGGACTGGAACAGAAAAAAGAAGAACATCAATGTTGTCATGAAATGTTTTATGAGTTGTGAATTAATATTTTTTTACGTAGAGAAAATTGTCATAAAAAATACATAACAGATTCAATCTTCAGTAGAGCTGCAGTGATCTGAGTCCAAGCAGATTGGAAGGATTTGGTTATTTGACATGTTCAAAGTAGATTAAGATTAGGTTACAAGAAAAAAAGATTCAAGGCTGGAAAATGTTGAAACAAATGTTAAACATGTTTGAATGTGTTCAGCTTCAGCGTAACTGTGGATCATTACAATCTGTTTAAAGCTCAACAGCACTTCGGACCCGGGGTCTTTCTGTGTGAAGTTTGCATGTTCTCCTTGTGCTTGTTCAGGTTTTCTTCAGGTACTCAGTTTCCACACCCCGAAAGCATGTACAATAGGTTGCCTTCAGACCCTGACTGCCCTTGCAAAAGACATCTGCAATCTCAATGCAGTTTGCCTAAATAACGATAAAATAAAAATAAAAAATCTTTTAAACCACCAAATGGATTTTAATGTAAGCTTCAGATTAAGTTCTGGAGTTGGTTCAAAATGGACGCCACATCTAATCAAGCTTAGCAAACCCCTGAAAGCATCAYCCCAGTCAGCTTTATATATGTTAAGCTCAGTTTTGATGTGGTAGTAGCAGAGAGTCATTCACAATACRTACTGAGTGCCAACTGATCGAGAGTCTTGCAATATTGCAGGAGATTTCCTGTGAGATGTTATTTTCAGGGTTTGACCAAAATAATAATAAGAATAATAATATTACATTAGTCCTATAAAACTCTGGCATTAAAAGTGGCAGGAATATTATATTGCTGCTAGACCTTTAATTTGTTTAGTTATTTAGTTTTTTTTTTCTGATAGTTTGACAGTAAAGAACGAACAGATGTTACAGCATCATATGAAGGTTTATCAATACAAAACTTGACAAATATGCAAATCAAAAGGCATCGTTMATGCATTTTGAACTAGGGATCTTTCCTGTTGCTTTTTAAATGAGCTCAGTTTATTCTGACGACTAACATGCTAACGGCTAGTTGCTTCAGAGTAGAGCCAATTATTCTGTTTCTTGGACTGATACGCCACCATTAGTTTCTTATTACTTGGCGACTGCTGCAGAAACTCTACAATACATCTGCCAGGTGCTACAGCTAGCTGCTGTTGCCATGATTTGTTTTTGAAAAATTTCAAACAATTTTATGCAACTACCTGAGTAAAATGAAAGAAATGGTTTAATAAGGGTTTRTTTAGATGGACTGGTGACTTGTCCAGGTCCCGGTGGTTTTTAAGAATTAACCATTAACATCAACAATTAACACCATTAACAATTAAAGAGTTGAGTTGGAAAAAATAGTAATCTAACTATTGCAGCATTACGCTTGGCTACAGAAATAAAWAAATAAAWARATAATAKTTACTGCTTATACTTCAAGAGTTTGATCTATGTTGTGTCCACCTACTTTGGTATGATGCGATCGTCTTCGACTGGACACCAAGCTGTAACCTCACAGGTCTTAGTGGCGTTCACACAGACTCCCGTCATTTGTCCTTGAAAGTGGAAACAAACAAAACCTCATCACTGAGTTCCAACTTCAAACTGGAACAAACACGGAGCAGAAGTACAACGTGTGCTCTGAACAGAGTGGCTGTTGGCTTTAGCTTTAAAAGCAGTGGAAACGTTTTCCGCCCCACGTTTCTACCTTATCTTCCATTAACATCAACAGCAGCGAGATATGAAAGCCAAGCAGAGCGAAAGCTGAAATAACTGTTTCCTTTATCTTGGCCGAATCCTGACATATAATTTCTGTGTGAGATTAGCGCTGTTGCTATCACTTTTTGTTATCTGGAGCGTCGTTTTTTTGAGAACTCTGCAGCAGAAGGCGTTTGGTTTCTTAGCTGCAGTCTTTGACCTTACACTGAAGCCCCCCCACCTCCACGTGCTACAGGGACACCCCCGTGTGCTTCCAAACACAGTGGCAGCAGATGCCTCTGAAGGAACTCTGGCACCTGAAGGTAAATTTGAYGGTTCTGAAGCAGACAGATGTGAAGCGTTGCTCTTATTGAAGTTGATGTAAGACACTGAGGACCTGGACGCCTCAGAGCAGAAGTCTGGGACACACGGAGGACAACAGGTTTATGTAACTGTGTCTGAATGCCTGTTTTGAACCTCGCTGTGTGGTTTGTGACACAAATCATCTCTGGTGCGTGAGTTATTCTGATGTGTGCGTTTGCTTGCTTAAGGTAGGGTTCTAGTTTGTGCTTCGGAGATCAACAAACGACAGTACCAACATCAATGCCAAATATTTGGTTGCYAAGACTTGATTGTGGATTTTAATCCTTCATTTAGTGCCGGCCAAAAGCGATCCACAATTTCTGTATAAATGTTTACCTTAGTCATGATGTGTGAGACTGTGTGTAGCAGCTCAAGGCCACAGCCTATTGTGCAAATAAAGTGTGAGAAGTGATATGAAACCCCGTCGCCTTCARAGCATCGAAGATGAGCCAAGACTGGAGGGAGAGTTCAGGTTTTATATTGTCAGGTTCTGTGGAAATGTTATGAACAATTAATATTTTACTAGTAATAACCCATATTTACTTGATATTGGATTTATTTCAAAATTCCTAACGTTGCCCACCCCTACCAGGCACTCCTGGTGGTTTCCTCCAATGCAATGTGATATAAAATGGTAACGATGCAGATCGTGATCACAAATCATCTTCTGTAGCCTAGAATGTCTCCTTTCACAGCCGTTTCTGCAGCCGACACGAGCAGCCAATGGCCCACATAGACTGTGGCCAGTGGTGGGCACCACTAATCTAAAAATTTGTTGCAYTAACCCTAAAGCACTAACTATTATTTAGATCCCCTAATTCTAATACACCTAAAAATTGGCAAAAGCTAATTCTAAAGCACTAAAAACTCAGCTGACCCATGGAACATTCCTCATAGTCAACATGAGATAATTTTTTTGTGTTTATAATATTGTAAATATGTAATCTAGTGTGACTGATTCCCAAAGTTGTGGTCGGGACCTCTTTGTGGGTCACAAAACATCAAGTGAGGGTCCCCAGATGATTTCCAGACAGCAATTTAAATGCAAAAATAAATGCTAATGGAACATTTTCATTATAATCATTGTAATTTTTTTAATCATAAATGAATAAAAAATAGGATCATTGTGAGTAGGTTTATTTATAATTATTATCCCCATGTTTAACACAGTTATTAGCAAAGTTTGCATATGTAAACATGTACTATATGGGGTCAGGAGTGTTTGCAACTGTTATTTTGTGGGTCGGAAGCAAAAAAGTTTAAARACCACTGATCTGGTGGATAAGTGACATGCCTGTGACCAACACGTCTGACAGCTCTCACCCTCAGCTGTTGACAATAATATTGATCAATATTATTTAAAGAACTCAGTCGGTGCTTATAAGTTTAGCTCATAAATTTAGCAAGTGCTAATCCAGTAATGAATTTAGGAATTAGCAAAAGCCCTAAAGCACTAATCAGAAATTAGTTCTCCTATTAATGCTTTAGGGGAACTGTGCCCACCGCTGACTGTGGCTAACGTGGGCCATGGTCTATGTCTGTTGCAACCCATGAACTGAGACACAGACTTTTGGTCATACTGCCGAACACTATCTGCTGCTAAAGGTCCACCAATTCAACCCCAGTGGGAAAGTTTTATGAACATGCTCCACTCCTTGTTTCCTGTTTTTGGTGTGTTTTTATGGCTGTGCTACAGCGCCACATACAGGCCTGGCATATTTAGTACAGGGTTTTGGGTCAAAAAGTGTTTTTTTTTGTAAGTATGTGTGTGTGTGAGTGTTAATAATACAATTCTAGAAATGGTGCCGTATTTCCAAAACTGTGTTTTTGTGATGTCAAGGCCTTGATCTTGAATTTCTCTGTATTACGGGAAAGTAGCGCTGTCACATGAAATTATTGTTGGACAGAAAACGATCTCATAGAAACAAGATGACCATCTGGTTTTAACGTGATACAATTTCATAGTACGACATCACTTTCACTGATGTTTGATGACCTTAATGGACTAAAGTGTGACGGAGAAAACTAAGACTGAGACACTTTTTGCATTTTACAAAGATGATGAAAACAAAAAACAAAGTGAGTTTTGGTTTTGTGCTCAGACCTGGTCCAAGGCATGTAATCCTACAGCTGAATGCACTCTGCATCTGCATTCAGCTGCTTGTTAGTCAAAAACACTATTCAAGTTCTCGTTTTTACAACAATTTCTTATTAATGTAGCTCAATGATAATTTAATGTCATAACAGCTTTACACTTATGTACCTATAACCTATAGAGCAGGTAAGATATTAAATGTTCATAACCTTTTCACAGAACACCCCTTCAGATGATGTAAAATATCCCTTTAAGCAAAGTTTCAGAGGAGTTTTAGTCTGTGGTAGTGTTAGAAGCCACAGCTGACTGGTCCCAGCTGGACTCAGACGGTTAGTCAGTGAGGACTGATGAGGTCACACACTTTCAGGCCGTCAGGATTTACCATGTCCCGTACGTTTGAAACTCCCTCCTTCACAGTCAGCATTGGAGCTGCATTTCTTCTTGTCTCCGAGCTGTTAGAAACAAGAGAACGGGGTCAGTTTGTATTTACATCTGTGGAATGTGGAAGATTACAGCGAAACAGCATGAGAACCCAGTTTTCCATTCACTTTAGCACCATGCAGCTGACACAATCTGCTGTTTATGCCACACTGCACCAATTAAGGCTAAAGTGGCCAATAGCAACAACACAGC